TACGTTATCACAGAGGCGAAAAACGCTGTTGTTGATTGTCTCGACCTTGGCCAACGGCGGGTCCGTCTTAAAGCCGGCTGGCACTGGCTGCATCTGACATAGGGGAAACTTCTAGCAGCTTCATACAGAAGCCACCCCTGTAACGCCCTCGCTCCCAAAACCTTGCCACGCAGACCCGTTACAGGAATCAAAGAGCATTAGTGTCAGGAGACTGCTTCTTGTGTGGTACAGGGGCACCAGACAGCTGCCCAGACCTGGACCCTTTGCCAGAGCCCAGATTTGTGATGTTGCAGGAATCACTAAAGTTCATTTAGCTACTCTTTGCTCTTCAGCCACATAGATATCAATGACGTAGAAGTTCAGAGTAACTGTGGGGCCACTAGGGAGACAAATGGAGGGGAAAAACCTAGTGATGGACCATACAGAAAAGGCTGAAGTATTCAATTTTTTTTTCTTCTTCTTCTTTTTCTTCTCAGTACTCATAGGTACCAGGCCTTTGTGTGTACCAGCATGGTTAGGGAAGGAGTTGGGAGATCCAACATCAGGGAAGCAACAGATCAGGGTCTACTTAGAGAAGGTAGGCGTTCAGTAAAGTGCTGCACTAGAAGGCTGTGTGACTCTGAGACTGCATTACGAAGTATTATGATGGCTGGAGGAGGTCTCCCGTGGTAGGGTACAGTCTAATGTGAAGGCAAGAAAGGATCTGGTAAACTATATACAAGACCAATCAGCCTTACCACAGCCACTAGTGAGATCATGAAGCAAGTCCTCCTGGACTTCATCCTAAGCTCATGAAGGACAAGGCGGCAATCAGGAACATTCAGCACAGATTTACTAAGGGGACATCAGGCCTGGACCATGTGATTGCCCCTCATGGTGAAATAGCTGGGTATGTGGCCGTGTGGAGAAAAGCAGACGTAATATATTTTGGCTTTAGTAAGGCTTGTCCCTTGTCTCTAAGAGCATTCTCCTTTGGAAGTTGTGTAAGTCTTGCTGGATAAACAGATGGCTTGAAAACTGGCTGAGCTGTCTTGTACAATGGCAACAATTAATAGCTTGACTTCTAGACACTGGCTGGTGACAAATGGAGTATCCTGGGGTAAATACTGTGGCTAATATTGTTCTACAACTCCATCAGTGAGTTGTACAAGAAGGTAGAGCACATTCTTAGTACGTTTGTGGACAATACGAAAAAAAATCAGGGCGTGGCTGACATGACAAATGGCAGAATTTCAATCCAGAAGGACATCAAGAAAATTTGAGGATTAGGCCAACAGAAATCTCATGAAGTTGAAGAAGGAAAAGTGCAAAACTCAGCAATAGAATATGCCCCTTCATCAGCACTTGAGTAGCAGCTCTGCTGAGAATGCCTGGCTGTTACAGAGGATGCCACGGTCAGTATGAGTAAGCAGTGCAAGCAAAGCAAACCCCATAATGAGCTATGTCAGGAATGCAACCCTCTTCAGTCAGGAGTGATGAGGACATACATGTAATATAATGAAGAGTTTGGCGATGCCCAGCTCAAGGGGGAAGCAGAGACTGAAAGGGGTGTGGTGGAGGGCTACCAAGATGGTCAGGGGTTTGAGGGCACACAGTATGAGGGAAGAGTGGTAGAGTTGCACTTGCTTAGTCTGGCAAAAGGAGAAGGCAACATGACAGCACCTTCAACTGCTGAAGTGCAGGCACAAAGCTGATGGGTCCGTGCTCTTTCTGGTAGCTGTATATGACGCAGCAGAGGACAACAGGCACAAGTCTTGGCTTGCAAGGTTCATATGAAACTTCTGGAAAATTTTCACTCGGAACAGAGCAGCACTAAACAGGTCACCCAGAGACAATGTGGAATTGCCGCCCTCAGAGGATTTTTAAAGCTTGTCTAGACAAAACCGTACCTGATCTGATCTAGTATTGATTATTTGGCTTTGAGAAAGACACTGAATTACAGGCCTCCAGATGTCCCATCCCACCAACATTTCCATGTTTAGCCCAAGGAGTGGTTTCTTTTCAAAGCGTTGTACTACTCACTAAAAGAACAGACTCCTACTGGTGAGGTCACTTGTCATCACACTGCTGCTGCTGCATCACGCTGGGACTTTGCTTCATGCACTGTGGGGATAAAAGTCTGGTAATTTGTGTCACCTGACACATTGTTCAGCTATAGGGATTTAGAAGAACGAAAAAGGCCAATAGTGTAATGAGAACAAGTTGAGACTTCATACAGATAACATACTCTAGGACATGTTTTTTTCCTTCCTCCATATTTACCCAAAATACTATTAAATGAATCCTACTCATCCCAGCTTCCCAATAAGTTATTCTTAATCAACCTAGGTTTTGGTATTTCTGAGACCAGTGGTCTGGGGACTAGACCTCCTTCTTGCTATCCAGCTTTTCCTCTCCTTTTGCACTGAAAGACTGATTGTTCAGTGTAAAAAATTCCATTCAGAATGCCATTAAAAATAAATAACACTGCAGGACTTTTTTTCCTGGTAACCTCATCCAGAAAGAATTGGCAAATAATTAGGGAATTGTTGGTTAACGTGTTGTAAAACTGAAGGATTATGGAGACTACAAAACACTGCAGGAATTATGTAGCAAACCCTCTGAGACTTCTGCTTCTGTGGTGTACAGACTGCCCAACCCTCTTATATCTTATCTGTTGATATCTGCAAAGCTACTTGCAGGCGGCTGCTCTTCACTCACAGCTTGCACCTTGCGCTCTGCTCAGTGCTCCCCATTTCTGTCTCACGGAGTCACTTCACTTGAGCTGTCTGGCTTAGATGTCCCTCTGCTCTTCCATTAGGTAGCTTGCAGTAGATATCACTTAGGTGATACGATGAATGACAGAGTCATCATATACACAAAAATATAACAGGTGCAGTCCTGTTTCATTATTTTTAATGTCTTTACTAGATTTAATACATAATTAAAATAAGCTCCAAGGGTAGTGATTAACTTAAAACATATCAGTACATTTCCAGACGGCTGGGTTAAGATATAATGGTGGAGGATCTGGTATTCATTGAGGCAAATGTCATTTTTCTCTTCCTGCTTCTAGTAGAGATGGAAGCAGTTTTGTTTTATTGCCACTTTGTTCTAGGCTTAGGGTGGTGATGGAGGCTCGTGTCACTGCAGTCCTGTCTTCCTTAAAAACTCTGGAAAAGTCCGCAGACTCTCTTTCCGGTTTGAGTTTGAAGGAAGGTGTTCTATCAACAACACGCATCACCAGAAAATCAGGTACGGTCTAGAAGAGTTTAAGTCACTCTGCATATGTAAGAACTTGTTTGGCATCTAGCTCAGCAGCAAAAATCTACCAGGCAGAGGGACGAGGATTTCACATCATAACCTGTCAGATTTTTGCAAACTGCATATGCAACAGATTTACACTACAGGCTTTCTGAACTTGGCTGTGGCTGTGTTTTCCGTGTCTGGATTCTCAAAAAAGCCTTTGAGGAAAGTATTCAAACAGTGCAACTTTAGACAACTGGTTTGGCTCCTTAAACTAGGAGGCTGGGTTCCTTTTGATCCTGCTGGAGAGAATGTTCAGAGGAAAATCCAAAGCACCTATTGTAGTCTCCTGCTCTGATTCCCTTGTCTCTCGGAACAAGTCTCTCTGCATTGAGCACACAGGTAACCCAGTCTTCAGATCAGATACTCTATTTCAGTAACTTTGGTGCCCACAATAGGTGATATAAGAATTCCTCTGGGTGTCCCAATTTTAGGTCATCAACCAGAGTCAAGATACAGCTTACTATAGTGAGGCCCATTTTTAAAAACTGGCTGTAGATCATCATAAATGGCACAAATTAATTGAGGTCATACTCAAAAAATAATGTATTTTACTCTATTAGAATCATAGAATTGTTTAGGTTGGAAAAGATCTTTAAGATTATCACATCCAACCATTAACCTAGCACTGCCAAGTCCACCACCATGTCCCTAAGTCTATAGATCTTTTAAACAACTCCAGGGATGGTGACTCCACCACTTCCCTGGGCAGCCTGTTCCAATGCTTCACAACCCTTTCAGTGAAGAAATTTTTTGTAATGTCCAATCTAAACCTCCCCTGGCACAGCTTGAGTCCATTACCTCTTGTCCTGTCATTAGTTTCTTGGGAGAAGAGACTCACCCCCACCTCACTACAACCTCCTTTCAGGTAGTTGTAGAGAGCAGTAAGGTCTCCCCTCAGCATCCTCTTCTCCAGACTAAACAACCCCAGTTCCCTCAGCCGCTCCTCACAAGACCTGTGCTCCAGACCCCCAACCAGCTTCGTTGCCCTTCTCTGGACACGCTCCAGCACCTCAATGTCTTTCTTGTAGTGAGGGGCCCAAAACCGCACACAGTATTCAAGGTGTGGCCTCACCAGTGCCGAGTACAGGGGCACTATCACCTCCCTACTCCTGCTGGCCACACTATTTCTGTGACATTAATGACGGAGGATTGGGACTGTTTGACCTCAGGGCAATCTCCCTTTGTAAGCGACTGCTCCCTGAGCACAAACAGCACTGTCGTCTGTTCAGCCTTGCAGCACAAAGACCCTACCTCAGGAGTGAGCTTTTGCTGGTTGGTCTTTCAGCAGAGTCTCTGTCTGGGAAGTCCCACAGTTTTGTCTGGGAAGTCTCTGTGTTTGGAGAGTGCACCATCACTGTGGAATGTGATCTGTTACTGTGCCCTGCAGAGCCGAAGAACACAAATAAAAACCTTCTAAAATACTGTTAGAAATGGAGTTTGCCATTTCTGGGTCCATAATAATTTTCTCTGAACATCATAGTTTTAATTGTTCTCTAGCTTCCTTTCCAGTAAGCCACCGCCTAGTGAGGTGTCCAGAAAGAGATCTATATTCAGAAGAAAAGCTGTTGATCAAGATCCAAAGCAACTCCTTAATAAAAAGATGAATACAGCCCTTGGGCAAGCCCCACCCCCCCCGAGGATAACCTGATGCTGGCTGCAGTACAACTGAAAGACTGCTTTACAAGTCATCCTGGACATTCTCCTGCCAGGTCATTACATTGCAAGGCAGCAGGTGACTTGTGTACTCCTGTCTAACAGATGCAAAAAGGACAGCTCAAAATGCCCCAGACTAAGGACACCTTTTCATTCTCTTCTCTCTCTCTCGCCATCACTCGCTAAAAACACAGTTCATTCTTGAAGGAAGTGAGAATGTACCTATATTATTCTGTAGTGATCGCAGCCAGTCCTCCATCAGTGTCTGAGAAGGTGCTGCAAAGAAATACTCTGCCCCATCTCTCAGCCTGTAAATAAAGACAGGAGAAGGCGAGTTCTAGTTGGACTTGCGGTATACCTTTCTGTCCTTGTGAGTGGGGAAAGCACTGTAAGACATTTCAGTTATGTTGCCTAACAACATACAGTCTTGGGTGACTGTAGGTAAATACAACCACACATGTAGCTGTGTAGGTCTTTGCCAGTGCACTTCTCCATAAGACTTACCGCAACATGAAGGCATTCTCTTTCCTGATGTAATTTACCAGCCTCTCACATTTGGCACCAGAAATGCTGAGGGACAGGAGCATGGACACATTCTGAAGGAGGATGAAATTAAACCAAAATATCTTCTGCGTCTTTTCTGCTAGGATTCAATTCCACACCAACCTGCAGGCTGACTACACACCCATACTACCTTTTTCTGCTTCTAACTTTATAACTAGGATCACTGAATAAGAAGAACCACAGAGGAACAATGGACTATTGCATTGTATTGTGAAGGCAATTCTTGAATAAGATACTTCTCTTAAGGAATATGCTTTAAAATTTCTGGAAGCTCATTATTCTGTCCTGTAGTTGGTATCGGTTGAACAATTGTTGAATTTTCATTCAGATGACATTTGAAAGTGAACTGATTACCCCAGCCCCAAATCAAAGCAAACTCTATTTTGGTTTAAGTGAGTTTTTACATCAGTAAACACAGAGATTTCTAGAAAGATTCAAAAACCAAATTACCTTAGATGCTTCTTTTTCATCATTATAGAAATCAAGCTTTGATCCATCAAGTTTTACGTAGAAGGCTTTCCAAGACCTTGAGCCTGGCTACATGAATAGAAAGGGTAATGAAATCCAATTATTAGCTATATATTTTGTTGGAGTAGTGAAATTTTTCATGTGTGACTTCCACAGGAAGCCAGGCGCTGCCCATGTTATGATCACAGAAGCTCTCTTAGTCATGATTACCGCCTAGAAAAACAGAAACTGCTGTAGTTTGTGATGTGGGTGATTCAGGAAGGGTCTCTCTGTGAGTCAGGACTGAACAAATGACATAACCTGGTGCAAGCACGCTGTACAACCAAAGATATTGTCGTCAGCAACATCTTTGAGAGAAGGTGGGTAATCAAAGTTATGTCTATTTTTGGCCACTAAAAGCTCTGTTTTTTTCACAGATGTAATACTGGCCCTTGCATGCTGGCCACAGTCTAGTTTTGTAAGTGTGTTGTTTCAATGTAATACGTCTGCTGAATTCTGCTTCATTTCCTAAACTAACACCAGTGGAATGCTACTGAACACTGGGCAAAAGTAGCTGCTATTTCCTACCTCAACTATGTAGCACTGAAAAGTTAGCCTAGTGCCACGAGACCCTTCTGGATGAAGGATCGTTTTACTTCTGTATATTCTTGTTTTGTTATGCCAGTGAGTCAAGTTGACAATTTGGTCATTCAGAGAAAAGGAAGGAAAAAGTCCTGAGGAAGATAAGTCATAGTGGTTTTGGTAATATGGAAGTTCAGTATACAGCAGACTAACTTCAGTGCGTCCAGAAGAGATTAATTTCTCTTCCAGAAGATGGAGTCCATAGCAGATTCATTTTTTTAAATAGATGTTTCAAGTTAAAAGTTTCAGAGGAAATATTCCATGGGACAAACAATCCAAGACAACTTTTTTACATGCAATACCTCAGCAAACACTCAGATGTCTACAGATTGGTGGTGAATATTAGAAAATTTCCTGCCCTGTTACGATCATTAGCCTACTGACCTGAAGTGATATTCTTTCCCAGTATGAGAATTTAGACTTCAGCCCTGGGTTAAACACATCACTTCTTCAAAGATAAATAGAAACCTTAATTCTCTTCTAGCACAGTTAGAAATTATAAGCATTGGTAACATGGGAGTGAGGGCTTCCGCTCACAGACTGTCACATGCTGATACAGGGTCTTGAAGCTTGTATTTTTATTTTTTACTTTTTTTTTTTTTTCCCCAATTCAGTTGACATATTGAAACCTGTATTTATAATTAGGGGAACATAATTAACATGTTCATATAGCCAGTCTCTGGTTCATAAATCCATTAAATGTAGACAGACCCTAGTCTGCATGACTCCCATGACACGTAAAATTCCATTGTCTGAATCCCTTAAGGACTTATCAGGTACTGCCAAAGTCAGTGGACACTGGATGAGCATTTTAGTGGTAACTGAATTAAACCCGCAGTCCTGAGCTTCTCTTCAATAAGATTTTATCCTGATGAAGTCAGACCAGATCTGGATGGCATTTGTTTCTACCTGTTTTCTTCCTGAAAGGAGCTGGTCTCTCTTTTCTAGGACTCCCTCCATGTGCTGGAGACTTGCAGAAACCTGAGACACATAAGAACATTGCTGTTTAACTTTAAAATTACCCTTAAACATATGTTTTAGTTTCTGAAGGTCTTTCTAGATAAATTCCAGAGAAATTGATCTCTACTGCCTCTAGCCTTTACATTCACAGCACAGCTAGAAATCATCTCTAGGTTACAGTCCCACCTCTGATACACTACTAAATTAAGAGAATTCATGTCCTTCTAGAACAATTTGCTCATGGAATTTGCTCTATCATGGTGTATTAATTAATTAATATTATTTTTATATTATTAAATATAATTTACAACTTAAATTGCTAAAGTTATTCACACCACCTCTGCAATAATACTGAGTTACACCAATGTATAGTGTGGTACTGGTACACTTGGGTACGGGACAAACACTTCTCTCAAAGTGCAAGAGGGGAAAGGAACAATTTTTACCTGTCCATGAGTTACGAGTGCATTTCCTGCCACAGTGAGCAAACAAGAGTTGCTGGTTCTAGTCTTGCACCAGATCAGCTCTTTGGCAAGGGTGCCACTAAGTCCTGCCTCCTCTCTGACTTCTAAACTCAGTGGACACTAAGCACCACCACCTCACATAGAGGGTATGGGTAAATCAGCAGTCTTGCCTCTTTGTGAGACAGTGTCTCCTGGCTCTTGTCAAGTGCTCTGCTGAGTATTAAGCAGTATGAATAACCTCTAGTTTGGAAAGGAAAACCAGAAACTGATACAGTTGTCAAGACCTAGGCTATAAAGCTGAGCAAATTAAAAAGCTATCCTAGCTGCTTAAGTCAACTACCTTTTTTGGAAATTTATCAGCTGCAAAAGCACATAAAATGCCTCTTGCTGTTCAGATCCATGAGTGTATCCACTGAAATGCTCACTGCACAGTGCTCTTTGTGACTTTCATACAGAACTTCCTGTATTTACTTGCTTTAACTAACACAGAATAGCAGTTTTGTGAGGGAAGAGCCAGGAACCCCCGTGACTTACCAAAGATGTATTTTCTAATCTCTCCCAAGAGGAGTTAGATAGCAGTAAGTTTGGTGATTTATTTAGTGACCTTTGGTCAGGCTCAGGTGGAGTTGCCATTATTTTTGTCTGCAGGTTGGAGAAGGAGGAGCCTGTAGCGCATTTTTCTTGGGGTGATAAAACGCCTGTGGCATACGATTCTGACAAATTGCTGCTGTGTTGCTGGCTTGTGGGAGTAGGAGATAAAGGGGAGCTTAAAGAACTATCACTTTCCAAAGATGTAGTTTGTGGGCCCATTGTCTTTTGCGTAGGTGGAGTGATAATTTCACTGAGCCTCCTCTCAGCTTTCATTTCTGTTTTGTTGCCGCTCAGCACTTCTGGGCCTCCCCCAGCAATGAATTGTTGTAATGTCGATGGAGACTTTTCAATAGGGGAGAAAATAGTTTCAAGTGGGGCCCTCCAGGACAGGCTGGGTAAGGGCACAGATGGCAGTGGCATTGTGCGCTTTATCTCTGTCACTTTTGGCAGTGTATTTCTTTTCTCAGATGTTTTTCTTTTCAGAGAGGGAACTCGTACAATTTTGCCTTTATCCTTCTGCTCATTCTCTTCTGTGTCCACTTGTTTCGGAAGATTCATCTCCCTCTGTAGGACACAAGTATTAAGATTTTTTAATTTTTTTTTTTTAAGGAGGAATAATTTTTCAAATACACTGTCTCCTAGCATCGAATTTTAAGGCCTGTATCTCCACTGGCACTCTTAGAGTTAGCACTGAACTTAATGGCTATGTGCTGAGCATTATTTTGTTGCCCAAACCGTTACTGGCCCGCAGTTGCCCAAACTTATGGCGGTTAATCTCAAATACAGTGAATCTTGCCCTTGGTAAGTCGTCTAGAGGCTGAGTCTTTAATGAGCTCTAGAGAAACTATGCTTCTCTTCTGTGGCACTGCTTCTTTAAGTTTGCTGCAGGAACAGTATGTATTCAGGGGTGTGCTCATGGAAAACTGTAGAGTGGAGGACCTTTGTCCCTTTGTTTAGCCAATTTGCAAAATGCTGAACAAAAGGCAGACCTGGCTAAGCTAATTTTTAGCCTAATGCCAAACACAAAAGCTATGTTTTGCTGGTTATTTCAAGAAAATAATTTAAAAAACCCATTTAAACAAGATCTGGGAGGCTGACAATGATTTTAGTACTTAATACAATTCATTGTAGAATTCTGATGCCAGAAGGAAAAAAAGCCTATCTTTGCCTTGGTGTCCCTTTATTTTCAGCCCTTTGCTGTCCTCCAGCACTGTCAGGTCGCTGCAGCTCCCTACTGAAATCCTCCACGCTCGGGGAATCACGCTGTTTCTCACACAGCAGTGCACACTACACATGCTTTTTGCTGCTCCTGGAAGAAGAAAGCTTCCACTTCTCCCCTAGAGCTTTTGCAACCTAGGTGGACTCTTTTGATCCACGTACAGGTCTCGTTCGTAACTGCTTTATCTGCAATATCTTGGCTTTGGTCATTCATTTACTCCATCTCAGCACAGGAGCTCATTCTTACATGGAGTGACTGAAACTCAAATATTCAAGAACCCACATCATCCTGTCTCATACACAGCTCATCAACCTTCTGCTTCTCACCTTAGTTTTCCTGCTAAAAAAACTGAGCTGAGCAAATTTCTCCTCTTGAGCTGCAAGCATCTTCTCAAAATCATGCTGTTTTTTCAGCAGTTCCTCTACTTCAGACACTGAATCCTGAATGGAAAAATTATCAGATACGGAAGTCCAAAATCAAGTCTATCAGCAGAGGTTATGCCTAAAATTTTCAGATTTACCCATTCTGCTTAGCCAAATTACGATTCTGAAATTTTTGGTTTTGAATGTCTAAACCCCTAGTAGTGTGTGAAAAATCTTAATTTACACTTAAAAAAAAGGGCCTGTAGTTTGCAGTCTGTCTGCTGTACATGAAAAAAAGGGCTCAAATAACGACCTTCTTTTTTCTGTGAAGCCATGTGGTACCATGGCTTCCAACTCTACAACTGTTTACATAGAGATGAATTACTTGGATTGCAGCTTGTGCTAGACAAAAAGTTTATTCCTGCCCTATAACACATACATCTTAAACGTCTGTCTTGCTCTCTGCTTGTTTTTTGATACCTGAGTTTACGACATTGTTTTCCCATCTTATGAACCACCAGAAGACAGTCAACAATAAGAAAAAAAAAACAAATCTATGAATGCTGGTGTTTAAATAGGAATTTATGAGATAGCTATCAGACCATCTGTGCAAAACATTCTACCGCCCAACACAAGAGGGGACAAAACCCTTTCTCCTTCTGAAACAGGCTCTTAGCACGACAGGGGAGGTTGAACCCTCTGCAAGTTATCTTATGTGAAAAAACAGCCTGGAATTCTCCCCAGTCTTCTACCATCCCCTGGAAGCTATCACCTCCTGGAGCCCTTCGCTATCTAAAATGTAGCAATTGTCCTGGGCTCACTTCTGTAGGAGGGAAGAGCTCCTGCCCCTTGTAATCTCAAGGGATGTATTAATGTTTAGATTGTGATTAACTTCAGGCCTGAGATGATACGCACTCCAAGCACTCTGTATATGCTAAGAGGCATTTCAGTAGTGTTGCACTGTCACTACTCACCCCATAGCTAGGATCTGAAAGAAAACTCTCCTTGGCAGCCAGCCATGCTTCTGCATGTTCTAGCTCTCTGCGAAGCAATTGAATCTCCCAGTTTTCTTCATATAATTCTTTCCTCATGTCCCAGCTCTCCTTTACCTTCTTCATCAACTCCGACAGCTCTAATAGTTTTTCCTCAATCTAGAAAAATAATATTTGCAATGCCAGCAGGTAAAAAATCCAATCAGACTTTCATGTGACAGCCAACTAGTGTGTAATCTGCCCTCATGACCCAGCAGATGACCTCTACATAACTTTGTGGTGTTAACATAGTTTAGAAAGGATGTCTGAGTCCTCATTTTTGTTACTTGAATTGTATATGTTGAATTACAACATATACAATGTATGTTGTATAACTATATAATTGTGTACATATTCCACATACTGTACGATCAATATTCTGCTGTATGTTTTCCCACGATGAAAATTTATACCCAGTCACTTTTTATTATAGAACTAGTGAGAACCAGAAGGTTCAACAAATACATCCGTTTATGGCAAGGCAACAATGGAGAGCCTTAAACTGTGGAAAGTTCTCTAATGCTTTCTGCAACAGAAGAAATGTAATCTTGCATAAACGCTGAAGATGTTTTTGATGGTGTGATCTCTGGATCTACAGACAGTATCATGACAAGCTTTGACATGCAAATCACTCCATCCTATAGTTGATTGCATTGTGATGTTTTTATCCTAGGTCTTGTGTAGTTAAATGCTAGAATCTCATTTATGTGGGGCACATCTTTTCTGGGAACAGCAATATCTCCCTAATCCCCGCATATAGCCATAATTAATCCAGTGACTGTTCTTTTATGGTCAGCTTCAAAATCAGTTTTTAGAGGAGAAAGAACTTCAGGTGTTTTCTTTTTCCTACATGTCACATGAAGTCCGCAGCTTTTCATAGCAGAGAATTTGATTGTCCAGTTTAGTTCTTCTGTTTTGAAAGAGAGACAAAGCTGCAACTGCTTCCTGTTTAATGTCTTCTTTGTCCACATTTATTTGTAAAATATTTAACTCATCAACACACCTCTACAGACATGAAATGTCCATTCTTCATCAAGTCACCTCCTGCCTGCTGCATTTCTTCGTATTTTAGCCACTGCTTCTCTATCTCACGCTTGTATTCCTCATGGCGCTTGATAAGCAGTTCAGCTCCCAGGACATCATTTGCCAGTTCCTCAGATATCACTAGTGCATGCATCTCATTGGCCCAGGCCCTACAGAATAGAGTCAAAAGGGTAAAAAGGGAAGGAATTTGTATGTGTTGGGTAGTCACGAATGCACATATCCCATGGTGTGGATACACGTATACAGACTTTTATTTGCTCACGAAAGAGATTAATATACAAATACATTGATGAAGGTCAACTCACGCATCTATGGATTTTTATAACCTGATATAGTATTTCCTTCACAGTTTCAATACATAGCCTGTTATAGAAAGGCAACTGCAGCATCTATATGTACTGAAGGTTTGCACATTCAAATCCTCAGGAAGACCTGTAATAGCAAAAGCCTAGGCTGTACAGGTTCACAGTACTTTTATACATCGTACAGGGACACAAAGACTTTCAGATGTCCATCTAACCTTATCACCATGCATGAAAGTACTTCATATGGATATGGAGCACTCCTGCAAAGAAGCATATTGATAGATAGTTTTAAGGAAATTTTTCTACTCCATAAGTCTCAACTGGCATAAGCAAATGTATCAAAGAGAGGTGGCGAACACAGTTAAATCAAGCTGGTGGCCGGTCACAAGCAGTGTTCCCCAGGGCTCACTATTGGGACTGCTCTTGTTTAACATCTTTATCGATGATCTGCATGAGGGGTTTGAGTGCTCCGTCAGTAAGTTTGCAGATGACACTAAATTGGGTGGGAGTGTTGATCTGCTTGAGGGTAGGAAGTCTCTGCAGAGGGATCTGGACAGGCTGGATCAATGGGCTGAGGCCAACGCTATGAGGTTTAACAAGGCCAAGTGCCGGGTCCTGCACTTTGGTCACAACAATCCCACTCAATGTTACAGGCTTGAGGATGAGTGGCTGGAAAGCT